GAGGGGGGGGGGTTGAATTCTAATACTGCCGTGGGGCTATCCTCAATCAAGAACTAAACAATACAGTGTCAGTACTTCCATGTGTGGATCTGAATTCAACCAAAGTCATTCATAGAAAGTCCAGGCATAAAGTGATTCTTGGTGGAGGGCACATTAAAAAATATGACAGTTTGGGTAAGTTAAGCCTGCATGACTTGAGGAGTGCTCTTTAGACTGATTATTGTACCAAAACCGTGATGCCAGGATGATCCAACACTCTCGCATTGCAGATGTCAGAAGAACTCAGACAGGGTATTCCGTTAATGCTTTCTGAAAGCCTCAGAAACTCTCCAATTCATGCCAGATTGTGTTATTAGTTCTAAAAGAGTGTGACCTCCTTACTTTGATGGACAGCGAGAAACATCATGGTACAAGTTTTTCTGCTCCATGATTCAGGTTTGCTCCAGTCATCTATTCTCATTGACTTTTAGTATATGGACGAACATGTTCATCTTTTGAAGGAAGCATCTGTCTAAGTAAACCAATTTTCTTCTGCAAAATTTTTCCCAAACACTTAGTTCTCATTTTGTTACTCTCCCGTTTTCTTATTTGGAATAAATTATGGTGGCTAGTTTGAGACTGTCATATTATTACTACTGACATTCTTCTAAACCAATTGAGCGTCGGAAAACGTATTTGGACCCAATAAAACTTTGCTAAGACGACGGGGGAAGAAGTTACGGATATCTTGCCTTATTCTTCAAAGCGCTATTCGTCAGCTCAAGATCCTTGTAGTAAACTGATTCCTTGACATCCGTTTCAGTAAGTGGGAGCAAATCCACCTTTTTCGGCCTCAATTTCTGAAGTGTACTTTCATCGTTATTCTTTGAGGCGGCCTCTTGCATTTTAATCTTGTTTCGTAGATGCTCGATTTCACTCACTAAATAGGAGAAAGTGAGATGATATTCAAATCGATTTAAGTAGCGATTGACTATTATAAAACTTACCAGCTTCGGTGAGCTCGCTTTCTTTGACAGTGAGTTTTCGCTGAAAGTCCTCCAGAGTTCGTTGTATGCCCTCTGACTTGGTAGTTGATTTCTCCAGTTGAGAACGGAGATTGGCAACTTGCATTTCTATCTGCAAGGAAACACCGATAAAGTGTACTACACTAAGCCGACTTTCGTTTGCAATAATATTAAATTTACGAGGAATTGTTGAATGCAATTCCACAACGCTGTTCTATGAACCATTATCTTCCGCAACAACAAAATATTATTCCAATACAGAATGCACCTTGATCCCATGAGTGAAACTCGAAGTCTTTTAGAATGGAATTCATTCCTCGAGCATTATAGCACATAAACACATAGTTTGGAGTGACAGGTCAACTACCGGTTTACAGACTTTTTGTCGTATGAGTATGCGTTGTCCAGGGTGCACCACGTGGAGATAAGGGACTGAATCATTGAGCCCCTAGAGAGGGAGGGGGAGCTGAATTCTGGTGGGATTGGCAATTATGCTAATTTGGTTGCGTATTGTGGATACCAAACACGTGGCTGAAAATGATTTCTCCCCACTACTATTTTACTGATCAATCAGAAAGCTAATGAATTCATTAAATGAAGGCGAGCTAGGTCATTAAATAAAGTGATGATGGAGAAAAGGTCTCCATTTATTTGCCAATTATCTCCCTTATTTCGCGTTCCGAAATGGATTGCTTGCAAAGACCAGGAAGACTAAGAATTCAGCGATAAATGTAATTTTAAGACTAGATGGATCTAAGAGTGCGTCGTAACTCTAAAACTCATTTAAATAGATTGAAATAGATAGTACTTTAAAAATTGATGTAATCTCAATGAATAGGTATAAGTAAGCCCGTTTTAAGTCGAAAATATTCGAGGACATTAAATGACTTCCCACCCAAAACTAACCCCCGAAAAAAATCGCCTTCCACCCATTGAGAAATTTAAATCTGATCTTCCTCGGTTGGATTAGTACAACCGAAACACTGGATTGATATGAATCAGTCGGTACTTGATGTGTTAGATGAACAGTAGAATATAGACTTTCAAGAAACTCACATCAGCCACATAGGCCTTGTACTGCGACTCCAAGCGGGCCTTCTCCGCAGAAATATGCACTTCAGTCGTCTCCAATTCATGGATTCGAATCTTGAAGGAATCGCATTTGGTGCAGGACACCTCCGAGGCTGTTGATTTTGAGTCCCCCATCGTTGCAACAGGAGTTCCAGGCTTTGAAGCAGGTCCAAGTTTCGAAAATGCCTGTGAATTCGATCACAAATATACAAATATTTTGTGAATAAAATGCAAGAGAATATGGGAATGTATATACACGCCTTAAGAATATTTCATTAGAAAGCTAATTATCACTGCTCAACGGGGGTCTTTGCACAACTTCTGGATGGTTAAACTGATCAAATCAGTGTTACTCAAAACCACCGCTTCATTGCACAATTTCCCACAAAGTGAGAACATGTGACCTCAAGCACACTTTTGATTATACTCATGCCGAGAAACTCCGGCAGCACAAAATCCACCTTTTAAGCCAAGATGACTGTGAATGCTTGAAGCTGAAGAAAGTGTCAATGATAACTCTTTCGGTGTTCTTCCAAGTTGACATAATTTTTATGTTAAACCAAATAGGTATATTCAATGACTGCCATTTGTGACAGCAGCTTGATATTATGAACATCTCAATTAGCAGAAAAGTGTCAAGGGAATGGTGCCTTACAAAGAACCCAACAACCTTTCTTCACTTCTTCACTTCCGAAGCCACTGGCACTGCTAATCCTCCGAATAACAAGAACACACTTTATATCAATAACATGGGGTTGTGCGATAGACTTACCTCCACGTGGTGCACCCTGG